TTTTTCATTTCGAGGCCAAAGAATGTCTTTCATTATTATTATTCCTAACGGTTTGGTCGGTAGTGGCGGTCGTAGAGCACTGTTCGGCCACTAAAGCACTTAATATTTGGGGATCCGTTTTGAAGCCGCGTATGAATTCCTCTTTGCTGAGCACTCCGTCCTTATTCTGGTCACACAAATTGAATTTCATTTTAATTAAGAGCTTTGTTTGCCATTTGCTTAATAATTTATGTCATCATTTTGAGAGCACTTCCACTCAAACACTGTTTTGTCAGAAACCACTCGACAGTATTTAATGAGATCTATTTTAGTTAATTTTTATTTTGTAATTAATGTCTAAAGTGTTTTGTTTGGCAGACAAATACTACTGTATATTGTTTACGCGAGTTTAGCGGAGAAAGTGTTTGTGTAAATCATTTAAAGGACTATAATTTAATTAGTAAATAGATTTTGAAAGAGAATTTTTATATTATATTTGTATTTGAATTCTTGTATTATTATACTGTACTCATAAATTATACTTTATTTGTATAACAATTTCTAAAGTTAACTCATCCATTAATTAGCTACTATGCTGTAACTTATTATATATGCCTTTATGATAATCCTTATATTGTTTCTAATATATGATCGTATATTTCTATAATAATCATCACTTACGACATCCATTCTGTTAAAAATCTCTTGAACTTTGGAGTCAATATCCAATCGGAGACCTCTTCGCCTGAATATAGCTTTAATAACATTTCCCATCTCTTCAGTGGTGATGAAACCGTCCTCATCGATGTCATAGATGGAGAAACACCCTTCAAGTCGTGCCATACAAGTCATTGCATTCATACAGACACAGAGATAACAGAATTAATTAGTTTAAGTGCACTCAACGACATATCACATGAACTTTTTTGTTGGACAGTAGTATAAAAAACAACAAACATTTTATATTAAAAATTCAGAGCAATAAATCGCACGAATGGCTAGTTCAATTATCAGATAAATTTTTGCTTAATTAATATGCATTTTGAAGTTAGGAAATGTAACAAGATAATTATTATAATCGGATTATTGATGAACGCATGTACAGCACTATACTGTACATCATTAAAATTATTTAAATTTTATTTAAATAAAATTAACATTGATATAGAATCTTAATTAAGCAAAAAAGTTTTCAAATGTGTTAATTGATATTTAAAATTGATTTAATTATTTAAAATTCAATTACCAACCGCATATAATTAATAGAATTTAAATTAGCAAATATGTATCCAATACTGTATATTACAAAAATACAGAATTTTATACAAATGAGTGAATATAATATGCGTGTCATATACAGCATAACCGCAATATCAAGATATTGGTCACGAATATTTGGATTTTATTTAAAGTTAGTTTTCTTTTTGAACACTAAAATTCAATTTTCATAATGCATTCAATAAATATATTTTTTCTTTGAGTATACTACAAATCTATTGATTCTGGTTGTTTAATTTAACTAATTTATTCTGTATATACAATTTTATCACAAATGAATTTAATTTTAATTTCAATGACAATGCTATTTTCAGTTGCAACTTGGATTGTGTATTTTATTATTGTTTCTTGCACTACATTCACATAAAAAATATATAAATTGATATATTATTGGAATGAATTATTATATATTTATTAACAGCGGGTTATTCTGTGCTCAAAATTCAGTCTTTAGATTATTACTGACCAAATGAGCCTTTCATTTACCTCTCACTGGCACTCATAAGTCATTACTTAATGTCAAATGAATAACAACTGTTGGAATTGCTATACAAAGTCTATGATTATGTTAAATTGCAATAATTCACTGCGTTTACAGTATGTTTTCAGTATATTAATAACAAATTCAATCAATTCTGCACTTCATTGTACAACTTTTGTGCCCAATATTTGATTATGTGTTTGGATTTGACAATGAATTCAATTAATTAGAAGAAATCAAGACTCTGTCTGACTCTAAGGTCTCATACATTGAACTAATTGTGAAAACATTTCAAACATTGAAACCTCATTAAGAGATTCCGATTCACCAGACAGTCATTAATTGTGCGAAATATCACTCATTAACCGTTTGCTGACATTTGCAAGCTTTCGATCCCAGATAATGATTTTTCTTATTATTTGACATTTAACTCAACCTTTCAAATAAACAATATTAAACACATGTTTTTTGAATTATTTAAATATTATTTTAGGATTTACTAAACATTATTTCGATTGTATAGCTGTTATTCTGTATAACAATTTAATTAAAATAAAATCTATTTCCTTTTATTTTTCTACATAGTAATATTTATTTAAATTATACTATAAAAATTGATTTAAATATAATATTAAATATAATATTATGATTAAATTGAAAAACTAATAAAACTTTCAGTAAATCACAAAATCATAACCATAACAATATTTTAACCAATCAAAGCAAGCACACTTATTTACTTACATTTCTAAGTTAATTAAATGCAGAACTTTTACAACCACAAAAATAAAATACTCTTTTGATATTTTATTTTCTATAAAACATCAAACAAGTTTTAATATTTAGTAATTTACTTATTAAATGAACAAAATATTTCAAATTAATGCCATAAAATTGACATTTAATTAAACAAAAACTAAGAAAGCAAATGACTTACAGTCCAGTTTCTCGTCGATATTGCCTTTGGATGGGATTGAGACGGCATTAATGAATTCCGTGAAACTAATGGCGCCGTCCTATAGGCCCAACAAATTATTAAGATTTACAAATCATTTAAACACTTCTTAAACTTAATTTATATTTCGGAAACATAAATGACTTAATGATAGAAATGATAGTTTACTTGATTGGCGTCAAATCGTTTGAAGACATATTCGGCGAGTTTTATAGTGTTTCCGTCGGCCGGGAAGAAGTGTTCGCCAAAGTTCTGCATAAAAGTCTGTTTATCCATCTGTCCGTTGGGACACTCCTGGATGAACTCAGCGTACCATTCCTTCAGCTGTTTGGCTGAGACTAATCTCAAAGACATAATCTCATTAATACATCAAGAATTTGTGTATAAATTATTTAATTATAGGGTTATAATGTTGTGAATCATGACATACAGGGTGTAGTGGCCGCCAATTCCTTAAATTT